CCTTAAACACTTTCATTTGTTCCACTTCCACAGGCACCAATGCCTAAATACAAAACAACAATCAATCACCACTGAAATAATAACACTACGTTCGTTAATGCTAAAATTGAAACCTACTCCTTTGTAAGCATATAGTTCTGTAGAGAACAAAATGGCACTGCTCAGAATGACTTTTAAGTAGATTACTAATTCTAATTCTTAAAATTTGTACAAATTTTGTTAACATAGCTTGTTCTCTGATGCTTATTCACATGCAGAAAACCTGAAAGTGTCCAAGCACTGCATGTGCCACACTGTAATCTAGCAGTTGTACATGCAGAGCAGTACCCAGCTCTAGTAGGACAATTGCACAATGACCTCCACACAAAAAACACAGCACATTCTTCAAGAAATCTCAAATCCTACAGTCTGATGGCGAGTACAGCACTCAACAAGAAGTCTGCCTCCTCACAGTTAAGACTTACATCTGTATGAGTACAGGGCTTTTTGTTTTTAATATCTGAATTCTAGTCTCAGTTAGGACTTTGAGTTAAGGAATTGCAAGAGGTATTTATATGTTAAGTAGAGAGAACAAAGGAGGATTAAAAAAAGAAACAGTATAACAACTTACCAACTGTAACAAATGGAAAGACAGAAAAAAACCACAAGTGCATTTATCTAGTACCTCGATAAGAATATAATGTAGCAAAAATGAATAGATTGGACAGTAAAAGATACAGTAGAAACTAAATGCTGCAAAGGTAAAAGGACAGCGGGACACAGGAGGTTTGATGAAATATAATGACTGAAAAAATGATTCAAGATACAAAAGTCACAAGGAAAATACACATTGGGTCACATAATCTGAAGAGCAAAGCACGTATATTCAGGCAGGAGAGCTTATGCAGTCAGGAACAGTAACAAGCAAACAGCAAGGCAAAGAAGTTCAATACACAAAGCAGGCAAAAAATGTAAGCAAAAGATTACTGGGGTGGAAAAGGCACAGATAAAGCTGATGGCTTAACTTCACACAACCTATAGCCAGCCACTTCTTTATACAGTTCTAGGACAAGACCAACATCTTCATTATCATACATCTCTGCAACAGGAAAGGAACAAAGGATCCCTGCTCCAGCTTAAATTCCAACTTGCTTCTATTACACATGAAATTACCACCTGTGTTCAAAAAAACAAGTTCAAAATGCCATACTGAAAGCATGCATAGACTCTGAGTCCAAAATAAACGATACCATACTTTAATTGCAAGTCCAGACAAATCTGCATTGTCAGGCACTGGTGGCAAATCCAACTTGATGTCCATGTCATAAGTACGGCTGTGGACAAGAGCACCAAAGAGCGAGACGCGTGTTTCTCTCTCAAACCTGTCCCCAGCAGGATAGTTCTGTGAGAACAAGCCTATGGCAGGGAGTCCTGTTCCAGGGGCAGCCTCCATGATCTGAAGCGTCTTCTGAATTGTGTCATTGAACTGACATTCTTCATTTGTTATTAGAGACTGTATATCAGCTTCAAACACACTTACATCGTAATAATCATAACCCTGATACTTGACATTTCTCCCGACATATTTGTTGTTCAGAAAATAGTCCTTTTTTTGTGGTACAAGCTGTGGAGGACCTGTTCCAGCAAGCTGTACAAAGAGATCCAGGACAGCATTAACCTCAGTAAATGGTAAGCACTCAGCTGCTTCCAGCTCCTCCACAAGACTCTCCAGCCTATCTGCCTGAGCTCCTAGTCCACCGACTCTCAGGTTGAAAGACAACATCAAAATCTTGTTTTTAACTGGAAGCCTGGAAATGTTTGATTGCAGCTTACGTGCTTCATCTTGAAAAAGGTTTATGAACAGAGTGTTATATGCAACCCTCTTCAGGTTTTGCTTAGCCTTCCTCTTGCTGATCTTCTGCCTGCCCAGGTGCACCTTCCATGGCAAACCCGTCAGGTGTGCCTCACACAGGTCATTGAACAGCTGTGTAATGCTCTCCATTTTTTGTCAAACCGTGAGGCTACAGCAATTAGCTTGACAGTGAGTCTCTGGTTTCATGTGAAGATCTGGAAAATATCAGGAAAAAGAGGAGATGCTCGTGACATAAACATGAAAAGCAGGTGAGCATGTTTTAACTGAAACCAAGGCAGCCCATAGCCATGGAATAATTAAGAATCACAGAATCACAGAATCATCTGGGTTGGAAGGGACCTCAAGGATCATGTAGTTCCAACCCCCTTGCCTAGCAGGGCCACCAAACATACACATTCAGATCAGGTTGCCCAGGACCCCGTCCAACCTGGCCTTGAACACGTCCAAGGATGGGGCATCCACAACCTCCCTGGGCAGCCCGTTCCAGGGCCTAACCACTCTCCTTGTGAAGAACTTCCCCCTAACATCCAACCTAAATCTTTCCTCCTTCAACTTGGATCCATTTCCCCTAGTCCTGCTGTTGTCAGCCCTGACAACATAAATTAAGGTTAAAAATTATCTCTAAGATCATTTAGTTCAATAATCCACCTACCACCAATGTTGCCCACTAACCCATGTCCCTATGTACGACATCTACATGATTCTTGAACACCTCCAGGGACCCATCACCTCTCTGAGCAACAAGTTCCCGTGCCTGACCACTCTTTCGGAGAAGAAATTTTTCCTAATATCCAACCTGAACATCCTCTGTCACAACTTGAGGCCATTCCCTCTCATCCTATTGCTGTCTTGCAGGAAAAGAGGCCAACTCCCACCTTGCCGAAACCTCCTTTCAAGTAGTTGTAGAGTGCAATGAGGTCTCCCCTGAGCCTCCTCTTCTCCAGACTGAACAATCCCAGTTCCCTCAGCTGCTCCCCATAAGACTTGTGCTCCAGATCCCTCACCAGCTTTGTTGCCCTTCTCTGGACACGCTCCAGGGCCTCAGTGAGGGACTCAAAACTGAACACAGTACTCGAGGTACAGCCTCACCAGAGCTGAGTACAGAGGGACGATCACTTCTCTGTTGCTGCTGGCTACACTATTTCTGATACAAGCCAGCACACCATTGGCCCTCCTGGCCACCTGGGCACACTGCTGGCTCCTGTTCAGCCGAGCATCGACCAACACCCCCAAGTCCTGTTCCTCAGAACAGCTTTCCAGCCACTCCGCCCCAAGCCTGTAGCACTGCCTGGGGCTGTTGCAAACAGAGCGCAGGACCCAGCACTCGACCTTCAATAAGATTTCATCCCACTGCCTTAGCCATCGATCCAGCTTGTCCAGATCCCAAATGAGAACAAAAAAACTGACCCACTACATATTTAGGACACAAGCTATAAAAACACTGCCATGACTTAAACCCAAACTTAAAATCGCTCATTTTACAGCGACGCTTAACTCCAGAAGCCTATTTTTGCAGAGAAGCCCGCCTGACTCCATGCCTTTGGGAACATCCGCAGGCGTGCCCTCCAGCCCCCAGCCGCCGCGCCCCAGCACAGCACAGAGCAGCACTGCAGACCTACATGAGTGCACAGCCGCCGCGGCAGCGCGGCAGCGCGGTTTGCAGCCCCCAGCCGCCCCCCAGCTGCTCGCACCCCCCATCATCCCGCGCACCCCTCCGCCCGTCGGTGAGCCCAGCCGCCCCCGCCGCAGCTCCTCTACCTGCGGGGGTTTCCCCGGCGGCCGACCGCCCGCAGCTCGGGCCGCCCCTCCGCTGTCCCTCAGTGCGGCGCGGTTGCCGGCGCCGCTACGTCACGGGAACGCGACGGCCAAGGGAGGCGGGAGGGGCTCGGCGCTACCGCGGCCCTGAGGTGCCGCACCGCCCCCTTCGCCAGCACCGCCCCCTGAGCGCCCGCGTCGGCTGCTCGCCAGTAGCGATCGGCGCTGCAACGCCCCTCCTCGGCCCGGCCGCCAGCGAGGAGCTGAGGAAACGCGAGCGGTCCGCAGCCAGCAAACGTAGTGCTGCAAACAGAGTTCTGACGGTACTTGCAAATTCTTTTATTAAAAATAGAGTTTTGCCCTCTTAGTCATGTTCTAATAAACGTAATCTACATCTCACGGCTTACAGAGGGCAGCAAAACAGAACAAGGGGGATCCTCCCTGGGAGAGAGCACACTGGACACAGAATTTTCCAAAAACAGTCCTAAAAATAGGACAACGAAGACTGATTTAGTTAATCAGTGGGTGCAGATGATCCCAATTCCAACGGCAGTAGGAAAGCAGCCTAATGGATACATGTAGTTTTAAGTGCTTGAAAGCAGGTTACATTACTAAAGTCACAGAGACAGAGACCTACACCTGGAAACGAGCGCAGAAAGGAGAGTGCTGAAAACCAAGGCACAGTATGGCTGCTGCCTCAGGGAGTCCACTTTGTTTTGAGTTCACAAGCTGCCTTGCCTGAGGCCACCACCGAAACGTAATAGCAATGCTTTTTATTTTTTATATAGAAAACTTGCAATTGAAAGGAGAGCAGACTGAAGCCCATAGCCCCAGAACATTCACAGCACATATATATGTCATAAATGTTATTTTAGTCTTTACACTGTTTTACTCAATAACATATTGAGTAACTTTACCTATGCAAAGTATTATGTGTTTTTCTCCTTGGGCTCTGTGTAGTTCAGGAGATTAGATTTCATCTCAATCACACACTGCCATTGCTGGGATGCTATTAACATTCTCTCATCAGTCACAGGAATTAAAAGAAAGACCATATTTGGTGAATCCTTTAAGTCCTAGAAATGTATCATTAATCTGAAGGACCTGTTGTTGAGTTCAAACTCCCAGTGAGCTGGTGGTAGTGTGCTCAGGTGTCACACTGAGCCATTCTGAAATGCTCAGCTATTAGAATTGCTCATTTCACGTTCCCATCTTCTGGAGTTTGCAAACATTCACGCAGTCAAGCTAGTGTCTGTGCAAGCCTGACTTTGCAGTCACATATAACACAGGCCTCAGAGCACAGAGGACTGGGTTTCGCATGTCAGTTGCATAGTGTCAACACAGAATGTACAAGCATAGCACCCTAGCAAAAACATGAATTGTAAGTACTTGAAAAAAAAAGAGGAAACTGTAAATGGCTCTTATTCTGCTTAGACATCAACCACCTTTTTTTCCCCAGTGACTTGAAAGGCAAAACGAAGTGTCACGTTTTCTTCTGCTGCATAAAATGGTTTTAAAGTGCTTTAAATTCCATCGTTCACTGAAAAGAACACCAGTAAGATGAAGTTATTAACCAAGCTCATTCCCAAGTCCATAAGAACAGTTTTACTGGGGCTAGGCCACTGCTCCTGACCCTTTCTTCTAAAAGCATTTTCTTTCAGAGAGAGATGCCCACCTTTACTACTGTTTATGAATATTCTGCTTCAAACCAAAGGTTATTCAGCAGAAAACTGTTTGTAAGTTGGTAATCTTAAAAGCCCACATACCTTCCTAAACTGATTTCCTTTACCTGGTCTTCAACTACATGTGAATGTATTTCAATCAGAACTAACCAGTACTGAGTTAAGGAAAACTATTTTTCATTATTTTAAAATGCCATCTCATTCTGCACTATCTTCAGAAAACACATCAGCAGTCAGAGCCCATGCACGTCTTATTAAGCATTATTTAAACTCATAGTATTATGGTAGCTTTATTTCAGGATAAATAATACACATTTTTGGAGCAATGATACTCAGAGTTCCAAAGTGTACAGTTACACTGTGCTACGAAATGCAGTGCTTTCAGGCTCAAGGGGCAGAATCAAGGGCATGCAAGTTTCATACTGCTCACATCGCATCAGTGTGTTCCCACTGACTTAGAATTCAGTTGTATTTCATCATCTTTCTAAGAACATATATATTAATAAGAACTAAAGACTACTTACCTGAGCATTGAAGCATTTTCCAGTCCTGCTGAAGCTGGTTTCTTAGTTTTTTTATTTGATTTACTTTTTCTTGGGTAGGAGGCACATGAGCTCCAAAATTTGGCATAGAAGCACCTGCAAGTGCTTTGGCTATACTTTGCATTAGATTTATGTCTGTGTCCTAAATAAGAAAAAAAAAGCAAATAGAACAGTGGGCTGCTTCCAATCGTATTAGATGGAAAAAGGTCATAAACTATCTTTAGTCAGAGCACAACTCTAAGCTGCACATTCCATGTGGAAAGCTAAGCCAGTCCCCAAATTGAGGCAAACTGTCGGATCATCATCTGCTGCACATAAACACAAACATTAGCTCAGGCCTTGCATTCATGCCTTTTAGCTTCTCAATCGTGCAGGCTGCCTACAGCTCAGGATGTGTCTGCCTGCTTTTGTTCTCAGCCAGACAGAAACATGGGCTATTTATGTCAACAACTCAGATGTTCCAAAGACAGCATAATGAGCACAATCAGAATACAGCAGCTCAGAGCAGTTCACACCCAACACACTGTTGCTTGATTTGGGTTCTGTCCCAGGTCACCTGAAGTACCATGGTGTAGCACCACTTCTTACCTCAATCACTGCAAGAATTCGAGACTCTGCTAGTCCTTGTAGCAAACCAATAATAAGAGAAATCCCACTTATTCCAAGGCTCCTGTTTGGTCCAACAGCTATTATTATCAAGTTGGGTTGGTAACTATATGCTACAGGGAGAATGAATCCAAGCACAGCAGAAAAGAAGTCATTCGTGTCAGCATCCTTTAACAGGAATGAAAAGCAATTTAGAACAAACATGAAGCTGAAAATGCTCATATGTAGGATTGGAAAATTATAACAAAAAAGGCAAGAAAACCCCAAACCCAACATAACATGAGATTCAAAAAGCTTTCTGTTGACTCTAGGAACAGAATACTGATGTGTTTTCACAGCAATCCTTATATTAAACGTGCAGCTTTGATCAACACTGGTTATTCATATTTTCTGTAGCATCGCTGCATTGCAACTCTGCCTTCTCTAACATAAAACAAAACAGCCATTGCAGGCTTACTCAAACCATGCACTCTAATTCACATTAAAGGTCTGTGAAGGAGCAGCACTGCAGGAAGGGCAAAGAAAGAAATTTTTTTTTGAAGTCCCAATTGCAGTGAGAGGTGTAATTCTCAATGACATTTTATTAATTTATAAATCTGTTCTATTCTTTGTTTTAAAAAACCCAAACTTTTTATCTTAGGATGCTTTCACAAAGTGCACCTTACCTCTTTCCAGTTTAGCACAATGTAGTGTTTAGAGCTGCTCTTTCCAGTCTGTTCTTTCTTGCAAACATGTATGACGAGTATTTTTCTGTAATCGAAACCCACATCCGAGTATTTCACCAACTTCCAATGAGATAAAAAGTTCTGTTTTATCCATTATTTCAGTATAACGTATACTTTCTTCCCTATCTTGTCTTACCCTTTTAAATAATTGCCTTTGTTATTATTTTGCATATTCAACATCGTATTTTCAATCTTACATTTTCAGTAATAATTCAAATTTAAATTGATATAGAAGGGCTATACTTCAAACCAACCACTAAACTAATCAGGCAGAATTTAGAAATAGAAGCTTGTTTTCAGAAATACATTTTGGCTTGCTCTGTATTTTGTTTCAGGTTAAACTCAATGAAAAATCAATTCACAACTGATTTCTTAGTGCAGATTTCGTCATACATATGGTCACTCAGGAACATTTATCATCCCTGGAATTTAATTTCCCAAATTAAAAAGAAGCCTCACCCATCTTCTGTGCTCGGTATGATATCCATATCTCCAACAAAGATGCAAAGCACTCTATAGAACACAAAGGAAAATCATGTATACATTCATTTGTACGTGCAAGTAATTTTTTTCAATCAATGCAACTGATTTAAAGAATTTGCATGCAGATTAAATAAATAAAAAAGAATATACACCTCTCTGAACTTGGTCTATTAGAAGTATAAAGAAATTTAGGATACCTCAAGGGAACGCTCTTCTCCCACTAATCCTGGGGAAACTAAGCCAAGAAAATGCCCTTAGGTCAATTGCAGCCAATGTCTGGCACAGAAAGCCTAAGTTTGCACAGCATTGATCCCTACAGGTGTTCTGCATTTGGTAAGGCAAAAGGATTTTGTCATATGCAATGCCGTCTTTACTGCAAATCAAAAAAGCTGTGCACATTTGTTTTAAAATGAAGCCTTTCAACAAAGGCAACCTGATATATTTTATCCACTTTCATCTTTTTACATTTTGAGTACCAAATGCAAAAGATAAAAATTCACCTTTGAAACCCAAAACGAAGAGAATGTCTCAGTGCAACAGCAACAGAAGCAGAAGCTGCAGGTGATTCTGCAATTCCATTGCATACCTACAAAAGATTTTTTTTTTATTCAGAAATAATTAGTGCTGCACAAGATCGTGTCGTTTCTTATTTGTACCGATTGTTTTTTTAACTTATGTATCATTCAAACAAAGCCACAGCTGCAGGGAAGAGATCCTAAGATTAAGATGTTATTAATTCGTGTACAACACAAAGGTCACATTTGATTCTGACACCAAAAGCTGTTGTACAGTTTCAAGTGCATGGTCCTGCATGGAAAGTCAACTGTAAAAGTAGATTATGTAGGCGAAGGTCATCTTCAGTGGTTCTCTCAGCAGTCTGCAGATTAGATGCACTCAGTGTGCCAGAATGCAAAACACACTGGAAAGACAGACACTATGAAAAGAAAGCTGTCCCAGAATTCTGACTCTTCCTTTAACATGGGTGAGCCATTACTTTCTAGAAAACATGGTGACAGTATTAATCAGTCAACATTTAAGTGCTGGCTTGTGTTGTGCAGAGCTTTAAACTCGTCGTGAAACATAAGGGAACAAAAGCAAGGACACAACGTGTGCTCTTCCTGCTCAGTTCTCCTCTAACTCTGAACACAAAATCTCAGCATCACCTCCATATAATCTCAAATAGTCATTACTTGCAGATGCTATTTCCTTCTGCCAGTAGTTTATCTAATCTATTTATAATCTAGTTAATCTATTTATAGTTTATCTAATCTATACCTCTCCTAGAGATACCTGCAGCCTATAACAATAGAAATTTGTTCCCAAAATCTACAGCCATGACTGCCAACAGCAGGAAGATGACTTACAAGAAAGAGGCCATTCTCACAGTTACTAATCCTCACTGGCTTTGTACTTTAGAGAGAGCTTTTTATTCAAAAGAGACTGATTTACCAAATGAGACTGTTTGCATAATATACATTTGGCATTTTATTTTTAACTTGCTTGTTGTTTTCCTCTTTGTTTTTCAAAATGTCAGTACATAAATACAATCTTGCAACCTCTAAGTCTGCCTCATTTTCATTCCTGACTGTGCAAGGATCAGATCGCTGAGCTGGAATGGTTGTTTGGAATCACAGGGCACAGTGGTGTTTTGAACTGCTCTATGAAAGCAATCAGCGTGAAGCGCCAGGAAAACAAATGACTGCATAAATTATTGTACATATAAAGATAGAGAGTACAGCTTAGCATACTCTGCTATCTTATAGGGTACTGCAGAAGTTAACTCTCTCCTGAAGTCTGCAGGCAAAACTCCGTGCGGAAGTTGAAATCTATCTCAGATTCCTTGCTGCTCACTGGTGCTTGATACAGTCTTGTGCCCACGGCAAGTGGAAGAATGAATATCTGGTTCATCCTTATGTTTGACAGCGATGCTTCATGAGCTGTGACTGCAGAAAAGCAGAATAATGTCTTGCCCAATAATAATTAGAAAGGTGTCTTGAGGTTAACTATTCCTAAAATGTTTTCTCATCTCACATCCTCTCTTGTTAGCTAAGCACAGACTAGTTGAGATCAGCAGGGTTATGAACTACACAGTAACTAATATCCAGATGTAGAAGCAGAAATCAGGAAGGCAACCCCCAGCCCCCTCAATTAAACCACATTCTCTTTACCTCTTTCTTAAGTATTTTATCTAGGATGGTCAAAGCACTGCCAAGAGAGAGCAAAGTTTTGTTTGCTTCCACAAGGTCCGCATAAAAATCACTGTAAAATGAATCACACAAAGCAAAACTAGGTTAGATATGACAGCACTTTTGGAGAGGATCCTGATAATGGTATTTTGCAGTCAGTACTGACAGCAACACATTTTCTATAAATACTACACATTCATTCTCAAAGACCTAGCTCTAGCAGGAAGATGACAACACTCCTGCCTAACAGTCTCTAAACCTGTTTCTATTTGCACTAAAAGAAAACAAAAAATGCCTGATGATATTCAGGAAATAAAGTGCTGTCAAAATGAGACTTCCTAATTTTGGAAGTTGAGTTTCTGAAATTGCAATACCAGTCGGGTATTTCTTTTCCAGCTAAAAGCTAACACAGATCTTAGAGGCATTTTCCTAACACCTTCCTTTTAAACTAACACATTTTCACTGTCCTCTCTCTCTTGAAACATTCTGATTAGTTATGTAAAGGAATCCAGAGGAGGGCCACTAAGATGATCAGAGGGCTGGAGCACCTCTCCTATGAAGAAAGGCTGAGGGAGCTGGGCTTGTTCAGCTTGGAGAACAGAAGGCTCCAGGAAGACCTCATTGTGGCCTTCCAGTACTTGAAGGGAGCATATAAACAGGAGGGGGAATGGCTGTTTACAAGGGTGAACAGTGACAGGACAAGGGGAAAATGGTTTTAAACTTTAGGTTTAGGGAGGTTTAGGTTAGATATTAGGAGGAAGTTTTTCACGCAGAGGGTGGTGACACACTGGAACAGGTTACCCAAGGAGGTTGTGGATGCCCCATCCCTGCAGGCATTCAAGGCCAGGCTGGATGTGGCTCTGGGCAGCCTGGTCTGCTGCTGGTGACCCTGCACGCAGCAGGGAGTTGAAACTAAATGATCACTGTGGTCCTTTTTGACCCATATGATCCTATGACTTTAAGGAGAAAAATGGTAGCTAACTCTAATGTCTTAAGTTTTCAGAAGTAGTAATGCTGCCTATGACTGAGTAGACCGATGCCACGGAGACAAGAATAAGAAAGAATAAGATTATGGTTTGTTCTGAGACCTCTCATCCTTATAATTAAGTTGAAAATTAATTAAATATGACCAACCTGACAAGAGCTTCTAGTTCATTTTTGTCCATTTCCTTCACAACATGAAGGTGTACTGGGAAGGTGTTTGGGTCTGCTGAAGCTTTCAACTCAGCTGTTGTTGCTGTTTTGATGGGAGGAATTGGAAATACAATATTTTTCATGTGCAACTCCAAAAATCTTTCTATTCTGTCAGTTCCATTGCTGTCAGCTATCATAGCTTCATCATCTGAACAGGGATTTGTATCAGCAGTCTTTAGTAAGTCTGATTTGGTGCTCAAATTGTGCAAAAACGATGTGTCTAGAAAAAAAAGTTTCACGTGTATTAATTTGTGAGCAGTATGTTAATATTTAGTCACAATTATTTGCAAAACAAAGTACACCTGTATTCACAGTGTTTATATTTGTTTCCATGCACTGTCTGCAATATTTTGGCACAGACATTTTTCAGTGATGCTACAATTGTTTTAATCCAGAAAAAGTTTGTAAGTGATAATAAAATTCCACCATTTTTTTCCCCACACAGCAAACAAAGATATCAAAGCACTACTTTTTAATGTGATGTTTGTCACCTCTAGAAGTTAACAGTGTTTTTTTTTTCCTCAGACTAGCTGAAGACTTGGCCCTGAAGGAAGCCTCACAGCCCTCCAGCAATCATCTGGATGAATAGCTGGTAGTTCAGCTATTTCAAACCAGAGGAAATAATCTTAATTTTGAATTTCTGTATGAATCCTTTTACCAATTCCATTAATTACCTTCATACGTCAACCATTTCCAGTAGGGTTTATGTGCTGCTCTCACATTTTGAATAGATTCAATAGCACTGTGAAAGAAACAGGATTAACAGTGTCAGTAGTGATGAAAGAGCAGGGAATAATTTACCAATGGGAAAAAACAACACCAACAAGAAAATAAAATCACTGAAGAAATGTCTCAAAGCAGGAAATAGATTACAAAGTATCACATGTAAACCTTGGCAAGCAAAGTGTTCAAAGCTTGCACATCTTTATATCATTGATTGCTACACAGGTTGTTCTAGAACTATTCCTATGCTTACCTTAGGCAAGGTGCCATTTCTCCAGTTACCTGAGGCAGAGGATCTCTTAGCAAAGTTCTTACAGTCATGCAGACGGATTCAGACAAGGACCTCAGGTGGTACCCACCCTAGAAAAAGTGTTTCATTCCACATAAGGGACCAATACACATGAAGTCTGAATGTCATCATGGGAAATAAATCAAACTGAATGTACCTGAATTTACAGAAATGAAAGATTGTAAGCAAACACAATTCAGTGTTTCATATAAAAAATTATTAAGTTAGAGGTTACCTGCTGAAGTTCAGCAGCAAGCAACAACTCTATTCACTTCATCACGGTTCAGTTCAGTTTGGAAGTCAGTTGTGACTTTGCCCTGTAACTCTAGAAACATTCTTTTACACTCCCCTCCCATAGCATTCCAGCTTCAGCAGTCCTGGTGGAAGATTCCTTAGAAGGTAAAAATTACCGCTGTCCTCTAAAATATCTGCACAGGGGAAATCTCCCACAGCCTGACACTTAAAATATCATTGTCCTGATAATTTGGCAAGAGTTGGAAGAGAAATGAAGACAGATTTCAGATGACGGAATTAAAGATGACAGACTTGTTCCTGCATTCCATTCATGGAGCAGTCATACCATCTGCATCGTGAGGAGATGATTATTTGCACTTCAGGCAGTATGTATAATAACCTGCTGAAGAAAGGGTGATGGAAAACAGCTCAAGCAAAACAGAGGTCAAGTGAATCAATTTCTAAGCAATTCACTTGTTTGGGATCATGCTGGGAAGATTCACAAACTTATCTACCAGCAAAATGACCGTTTCTCCACCATGCAGAAGAGGAGTTGACATTGACTTCAAAAGGAGGAAAAAAATGCTTTTAAAAAGACCTCTTAAAGATCTTGATAGATGTTTTTATTAAAAACAAACAAAAAAACTCCCCAAATGGGAATGCAGCACAGGCTCTATAACCAACTTACAGTGTATTTATGCTAAAGCTTTTAAAAATTCTTCAGGAGTAAGACAAAATTGCACAACACTGGTAATGCAGTTTATTCCCCATATAAGTTTTAATGAAGTGGGGACTGTCCAGAGGAGCATTCTGTAGTCACTGTGCACAAGAACTGAACACAGCTGTAGAAGCTGTTTTCAGAAAAATAAGCACATGTTCCTCTGTTCTAACATTTTAAATCAAAATAATAATCAGGACACACACTTCTTTTCATGTCTCAGAGCACTGCCAAATTTTAGTCTTTTTTTGTATTATTGATTCTAAGAGGAGATACAAAAAGAAATTATTTTGTTAAGCTCCAGAAGTATTTACCTCCAGGATGACACACAGCTTCCCATGGGCCAACTGCATCAGGAAATGGGTAAGGTGGGCAAAGACTTCAGGAGTGGCATTCATCTGCCCCTAAATTAAAGAAAAGTTCTGTTAAGAGATGAAACCCTGAATCAAAAACACTAGTGAGAAAAATAAATAGATAGATAGATGATCTGAAATAAATGAGATTGGACTCAGCCTCAGCATAAAGGAACACTCACCTCTAGCTGTATCTAACAAAATGCTGAACCAACTGCTTTAAAGGAAGACGCAAAAAGATGATGCAGGAGTTGTGCCTACAGGACAATCTATCTTTATATGTCCTGTGCTATGCATTGAGCTGGGTCAGCTTAAAGACTCAAACATATATTTTTAGCTTGGTCAAAGTGAATTGCACGTAGCAATCAATGGGCATTTAAGATGCAGGAATATTTTACAAACACATTTATGACTGACAACACAAACCACAAAATGTTACTTACCTCAGGGTCTCCAATTCCTGAATCATATCCAGAGGAGACGAGAACCAGTTCAGGATCAAACTGTTACAAAACAGAAAGAAATGTAGCACGTTCTTTTGCACTGCATTTCAACTGTACACTGCTATGCCATGACACCAGCATATTCATTAATTGTACAGTACCTCAAAAGCCGTTGGAAGTAACACATGAAAAAATGCAGCAAGATAATCTGAATTTCCCATCCCAACCTGCAAAATGGGAGAAACACAGATCAGATCTTCCTGTTGAAGTAATAGCTTTTCCTAAGGTTTTGCCAGACATAAGGAAAGATAATACCAAAAGTTAAAGACAAGACAGCCTCATAAGATCAGCTCAAACTCCTCTGTATAAGAACTATATACAGATATCCATCGTTTTGGGTCTTCAGTTCTCAGCTGAACAAGGATGGACACAGCCATCTCCTGAAGCACTCCCAGGAGTGGCTAGCCAATATACTGAAGAAAAACGATATGCATGTGTCGTCTTCTCTCTTGAAACAAACAAACATGACATTCTGAACCTTATTTCTTAGAAGACATTTCACTGACAGGAATAAGATACAGTATGCTACATCTGCCAAGCAGGCAAAGCAGCACATATTCAGAAAGCATTATCTAATGCATAAGAAATAAAGCTATTGCCTTTGTTCTGTTGGGCTGTAAATAACATTTACCTTATTCCAAGGTAAATTTATATTAAAACCTTTTCCTTTTCCCAAACCCACAGCATCATAATCAGATTCTTTGAGCGATGGCCAGAATTCCTGATGTTCGTAGCGATGCCAGGAGAAATACAAAACACTGAAAATACAAGAAAAATCCAGCTTGACAAAAAGGCTCCAAAACTGACCCTGTGAACTCTAATATATAGTGAAAGCATGAAAATATAATTATCCTTTCCTCTTAGTTCACTAAGCAGCTTTTGACCATAAAAGTTGGTACAGAAGGTCCTATGTCAAAATTAACCTAGGACAGCTTTTAGTAATGTCATGCATGTGCTCCCTTCAGATGAAAGACAGGACATTCTCAGTAGAACAGATTTGTTTCTTGAACCCAATGCTGTGGCTTTTCAGAAAACAGCATAAAGCTCATCTGTTTTATCTAACTAGCACTTGAACTGGGAGATTCCTGAATAGAAAGAACAGAGATATTACCTAAATCCTGGTATAGAGAGATCTTACAACTGATAATCTTCCTAAAAGTCACACTGCTCGCTCATTTTGTGTTTGTTATTCTTTATTCTTCATTGTAAAATAAATTCATGTGTTTCTTTTTGTTAGATTTTTCCCCCTTTACTTGATAACAGGTTAAAAAAAACAACAATCACTAAAATAGCAAGAACATCTTGTCTTTTGTGACATTCTAGACTTAGGAGTATAAAACAAAATCTTATTCCCTACAGAAGCATGCAGTATTTAGCCAGCTAACAAAAGCATCCTTCAAACCTTGGATCTTCTTCAAATATATACTGAGTTCCTTGCCCATGGTGCACATCCCAGTCAACAATTAGGATTCTGCATAGAAAAGCAAAATAAAACATTCAGTAGAAGAACCACGGCATAGAGGTCTGAAGGAAGTGCAGATGACTGAAGATTTTGGGACCCAAAAAGGTACGTGACACCTACGAGGCTGTGGACATCACTCTAAAATGGTACCATGTCAAACGATAATGCAACATCACACTTGGGTATGAAAAGCTTCTCTACAGTCAGCGAGGCTCTTACCTCTGTAGGCGATATTTCAGTTTTGCATATTCTGCTGCAATAGCAACGTTGTTGAACAAACAGAACCCATTAGCTGCATTTCTCTGACTGTGGTGACCTGGAGGTCTAAAACAAAGTTTTACGTCATTATCCACAACAAAGGTGAATTTTGGTGAGAAGTGAAGACTTCCTCACATTTTCTTACCTTACTAATGCCATTCCATTGCACGCTTTTCCTGACATCACAGAGTCCACTAGCTGCAAAGCTGCTCCTACAGCTAGTCTGGCACAGTGGTAAGTGCTCTAAAAAAAGAGAATTTCACTGTTATTATCAGTCGTTCATCAGCTAGTTTTAGAGATAGCATGCATAATGTGCTTTGTGACCCAATATGAAACTGACATAAGTCTATGCTAATGAAATTATATGCAGTTAGTTAAAGGCATAATTTTACAACAGAAAAGCCAGTGTACTTTCTATTAGGTTTATCTGTAATCATCACATCCTTTGTAAGGATGTTCTCTCTGAGGGAGACAAGAAATAAGAAAAGGATGTATTGAACTGACTGGTTCTACTGATGTCTCTGAAAATAAGGAGCAAAATCTTACAGTAACAAAGGCAAAATCAAAATTTGAATAGTATGTATACTGGCATGATATCATTACAGAATAGGTAAAAAGAACACTTATCAATTTAAATTACAGCATAGCACTAAATTGGAAACGGATCAACAGAAGGGCATAAACACATGCAAGTATATTTAGATAGCAAAACAAATTACTATCAGCATTCCCCTACTTAGAAAACCATCACACAGATGCAGTAATACAAATACCTGCAAATCCCACTACAGGAAGCAGTTTAACTTACACACCGGATGAAAGAAAAAAGAATCATAATTTCCAGAGATTCTTTTCAGTTCCTCTTCATTCATTGTCTGTGTGCTTTTTGCAGCCTCCAAGTGTTGTGAACTGCAGAGGAGAGGGAGATGAACAACACTTAACTACGCAAACAGTCCAACAGTTTTTAAATACAATTTAAATGTAATGAAAGCTAACAAAACATGTTAAGAGAGGTTATCTGTGAGACTTCACAAGTCCAGCACGTATCCTGGGATGCTGGTTGTAGGATACAGCAAAGCAATGGAGTGCTATGAAATTAAGGATTCTTGGATATCCTAAGAATATGGTGACATGCTTCTCCCCTTTTCCAGTGGTCTTGGTATCACCAAAAAGCTGTTTTTTCGTTGTGCTACAATCTATTCTGCAATCCACACTACAGACAGGTACCATCCCAACTAGAAGTAAATTAGGATCTGACAGCTGTCAGCATATGAATTATGACTGAGAATGTGTCCAATCATCCCTTGTTGTATGGAAAACAGGTATTTGATAGAATTCCTTATGATGTATGTATACCTCCCTCTTCTCATTGGTTCAAGAGCATAACAAGTACTTAGAAACACTGTTCCACCAATTCTCTGTCACTGCTATTTTGCCATTGGGTGCTGAGATGGAAATTAAGGTTGATGGCATCTACCCTCCTATCTGCATCCTAACACAGGATACAGCAACCACGTATGTGTTCTGTGTGCTCCTCTTGCTGGACATCCAAAGCAACCGCTGTTTCACAACAAAGTGAGACAGACCAGCATTATTTAATATAAACAGTTGTAAGCAGTGAATTCAAAATGAAGATGCTATCAAGAACAAAACTGTATGAAGCTCAATGATTGTGTAATTACTAGTTTAACTTCCTCAGCAGCCTCCTACCTAATGGAGGATTCAAACAACATTTTTGTAGGAGTTATGCACTTGTTTCAATATGAAAGTCTTTAGAAAAAAAAGACATCTATTATCTCTACCCTACATTTGGAAAGAAAAACAAGACCTTAGTGAATTTTTTGTTCCAAGCCATCTAGAAGGGACAACTCAACTGGGAATTGTTATCAAGTCTCTTCAGTACCTGATCAGCAATGTACTTACTGCAAATATAAATTATGTTGGTAAGCAGAGCTGCCTGCATTCCAATAAGAACATTTTGAGGAAAAATACTGTTCTGGAATCTGAAAATTGAGACATGATTCAGGATCCATTGTCCTCAAACAAGCATCAGGTCACCTGTGTGCAAACTTTTGTTTCCTGGGGCTCTACTGCTGGGTTCAGAAATTGTTTAAAGACAGTACAGCTGATGGTCTTAAGGGAGCAAGCTAGATGGAACCTTACTGGAAGTTCCCCTGAACAACTCTGCTAAGAAGCCTCAGCAAAGCCTTCCCACCCTTCACTTGGGAGCCGATTTAAAGGTAAAGCCCTCACCCTGGATACATTTTAGTTACGTTGTATAGCTATCTCTGCCTCCACTGATGTGGGCCTCCATGCTGCCCTGTGGAATGTTATTCTAACTTAACCTCACTTCTGCCTTGTCACTGCAGACTTGTCAAGCAATCTAAACTCTCAGCTGAATTTGGTTAATAGCATCTGTGCTGCCCACTTCCCTTGGGGACTGTGGGATTGTGCCCTTGCCTATGCAGACACTGCCTCTGTCTGCTTTGCCATCAGTGCTTTGCTCCCAGCTCCACTTGTCCTTCTGGGAAAGACTTCCCTGCTTCTTAACAAGGGAAAATGAGCACACAGCCAACATGCGTGCTGGCTGCAAAGCTATTGCACCAAGGTGACAAGTGCCAGAGCAGACTTTAGAGCCATGAGTTCAGAAGGGGCAAGAAGCTCATCCTCTGAATTTCCCCCACAGACTTAGCTACAAAGCTTTCCTGTTGGTTCACTCTGTCTCAAAGATGTTTGGGAGAAAGAGGTGGTTATCAGTTTTCCTACATTTTTAAATTAGAAACTTACTTTTAATATCGTATTCAAATCAGCGATCACTGCTCAAGAATCCAAAGAGTGGAAACGGTGATATAGTGGAACAGCAAATTCATTCATATTTCAGCATCTATAGCATAGTCAACATGTTTTGTGCAAGTTGCAGCCTGACACATTTTCCACTGAAATTACTGGAAGTTATTGAGCTTAGGACCAGGTATTTTTAAATGGTGTAAAACATGCTCTGGAGGTATGACATCTGTTATTTCATTAGATTAAACTGAATGGCAATAAAAATAAATTTCAGACCTGTGAACTAAGAGGATTTCCTCCTCGCTTCCTTCTCTAGCAGGCACAGGGATGCATCTTTCCACAAGATGGTAACATTGAAGCTGCTCATAGGAGGCCGACAGTCTTTCTGGCACTTCAATATCACAAATAGGACTGAAAATAAGCGATATTCATATTACTGCAACACACACCAGCACAGCTTTCAAGTTATAATAATGCCTACTATGCACTATAAGTAAAGATTCAATATCCTCAGAGGGACTTGTGAGAGTAAAATAATTATAATGAAATTCTTTGAATACTTTCCAGTTTAGAATTGAGCCAAACAATTACAAAATCTGTAAGCAAAAATAAATTTATGTCTCTTGCACAGAAATAAACAAAACAACATTAAATTTTCCTTGTTCTCTCACCACTTCAAGCAGCAACTATTACCACAGACACGGAGACATTGAGATTAAAAGTGAAGATCTTACAGGGAAGATCAGCAGAGGATTTGACAGCATTTCATTTCAAGCACAACAAAGGTACTGGTCTAATTTACATAAATGTGAGCCAGCTGTATATATCAATTTCTAATTAAACTTAATTGAAGGGTTTCAGATGAGAAAGTAAATCCATATATTTTTCCAAGGTCAGTGAGACTTCAGCTTTATGAGCAATTTAGTTAGCTTAAACTGCAGTGTTTAGAGAACTAATCCCCTTACTAAGGCCTACTGGACTGCAGAGCCTCAGCTTCTCAGATCCAGCTTCAGATTAGCAGTAGAGTATCTAGATACTAATTAGCAGTAAAAGTTTTTCGAGAAGGCAGACTTTCTGTTCAGCAGGAAAGTTACCAGGTTGTCTGTCCCTACACACTGCACGTCACATTTACAAAAAACACATGCACTGCGTACTTTCTTGATAAGAATCAATTCATAAAAAGGACAGGACGTTACTGACTTACTCGTTCCAAAGCAGCTTATGCCTGGTCATCGCCTCATCGTAAATCAGGGCTGTTCCTGAAGCCATCGCTACAGACAGAACAGAGGTCCCCAGGTGCGTATCTCGGGTACAGAACAGATGTACGATGAACAGCCAGTGGGAATGAATGCATGCAGGGCAAAGGCCTGCAGGAGGATCTCGCACTTCTGACTTCTAAGTACAAAGCGCAAACAAAGAAGCCTCGAGGGGCTGGTCTGTGAGGACACAGGGCAGAACGGCCGGCACGGCCCTGGAAGCTGGATCCGCGCGGGCTGGATTCCCGGTTACCAGCAGAAGGACGTGCGGTGCATTAGAGGGGGTACAGAAGCTCCCTCAGTCCGCGCACAAGGGCCTGAGGCCAAGCCGGGGCGAGACCTGGGCCGGCAGGCGCGTAGGGGTTACTCACCTCAGGCTGAGACAGGTGCGCGGGAGAGCTCGTGCCCAGCAGCCCCGCTCGGCACCCGCACACCGCGGTCCCCACGCGGGCCGCCCGAGCAGCGCCTCGGCCTCACCGCCGGCTGAAGGCACGGCGCCGCCCGCTCGCAGCACGGGGCGGGATGGCGGGAGCGGGCGGGGCTGCGACGCGTCCAACGGAACGCCCACAGCCCCGCCCTCAGGTGGCGGCTGCTGCTGCTGCTGCTGCTGCGCGGGGGTTTTGCTTCCGAGGGGCTGGTAGTTAAGGGGTGAAACGTTCCCAGCCGAAATTCCCGAGTTGAATTTTCTCTGGCGCTCACCGTAGAATGATAGAATGGCTTAGGTGGCGAGGAATCTTACAGATCATCCCCCATCCAGGCCCCCAGCCGCGGGCAGGGCTGCCAACTAGACCAGGCTCCTCTGCACACCTCGTTGACGTATAGCAGAGGGTCTTAAATCACACATATGTACATATGAAGAAAAAATTGCTCCATCCAATTCCACTTTACTTTGTCAGAGCTCTGCGAAGTGGGGCTGGCAGCTGGAGCTGCATTATGCCCAGGATAGTTCAAATACAGCCGCTGTTTTAAATATACAGCAGCTCCAAGAGCAAGTAAGCAAAGGGCTGTAAGGTAACCCCTCATGTAAAGAGAAACAAATGGAAATCGACACAAGCTAAGATGACCTCCTTTACGTCATAGTCAATCGAGCAACCAGTTCTCAGCAGCTCACATCAGTAGCCATGTCCTTTCGTGCCAAGACCAGGCGGTTGATGTTGTCCTGGCACTTAAATGGGTCGCTCCCTGCAGGGCCGCCCATGGCTGACCTGAGCCCATCAGACGCCTTTGGGAGCAGTTGGCAACTGTGGGCACTGATGGAGTGCTTTAAATATTTACCATTTTTCCAGCAGAAAACATTGCAGATTCGGTGGGATCAAATGAACCGAGCTTTTGAGTCACCTACATTTTTCAGAACAGTGTCTTCATTATGCAGTATAAACTGAATATAAGTTGTTCCAACTTTTTTTTTTTTCATCATTTCCAGAAGTTTTCTAGCTCATGATAGAAAATCATATAATCATAGATTCACAGAATAGCCCAAGCTGGAATTCCGAGACCCACAAGGATCGTTGAGCTCAACTCCTGGCTCCACACAGAACCACCCTAAATTCAAACCGTGTGTCCAAACTCTCCTTATGCTCTGGCAGCTCGAGGCTGTGCCCATTGCCCTGGGCAGCCGCTTCCATGCCCACCACCCTCTGGTGCACTGACATTTTGTATGTCTGGATATGAAATAGGACCTTTCAACAAAGGAGCTCTGATTTAAGAAGATTCCAAAACTGCACTCACCCCATGCTCGGAGGCATTACCACCATTGATCATCTTGATCAATGTGAAATGACAACAAATGACCAGATTTTCTTGCGGTTGGGCTGTGTTACGTTTGCTGTTATTTATTACGATTTATTCCATTTTCATTCGGACAAAAGTGACCAGCAGAGGGCCACCTTCCTTTAAAATTCTCTAATGGAAAAGTATGAGGTGTGTTAATGAAGCATTAGCCAGAGAAAGTTTGGTAAGTCAAGAAAATGGCGGGGTGAACCCTGTAGAAGAATACACTAAAGGTACTGAGCTGGATGAAAACTGTTTCATTTCAGTTTTTATACATAATACAAAAGATTTTTGCAATAACTCAAGCCTTTATACATAGATGACCAAATTCAAATTTCACAAATAGTTAAAATACTATAGAAAGTAGGCCTGATAACACTGGATCTAAGTTCAACTTATAATACATTTTAAAAGGAAACAAAGATTTTACATGCCACTTATACATTCTTATTTACAATGCAGGTTTGGCATAAAAAGTGTAATAAGCTTTTTACAAGTAATAAGATAAATATTTACAAGCATTTATGGTACCTCCATTTCTGAGTGGCCAAAGTCAGCTGGGAGTCCCTTCTCTGCCAGTGGTAAATCTGATTAACTAAAATGATACCTTCCTCAATCTTCCCTACAAGGAGATACACCATGGGACGATGGCTTTGAGTCATCCTCCGTGTACAATTTTCATTGATAAGCAGCCATTGCTGTATCATATGCTGAGTTTCATAAGGCAAGAGTGAGCCCTGGGTAATGAATTCCACGTGGCACTCAATGTTGTACTCTTGGTCGCCAATTACTGCTCTTTTTTTGGACAGCTTTACTTTCACTGCTAAGGAAAAAAGGAAACATGTGAGTCACTCAGTTTGTTCAAGTATAGAAATAAATACCCGTTAAAGCAGGAAGATTCCTTAAAAATACTCTCATAATTCCTGGTGATGGAGTGTGGTGACATCTTCTCCCACAGCAGCATAGATTTTCTAACTTTTTAACTTCTTTTAAAATAAGTTTGCAACTGATCATTTTTTTCACTGAATTGGCAACTAGGCAAACATATTTTCACAAAGATTTGTAATGTATTTTTGCCGTCATTGTATACGTGATGGTGACTGGATAATTAGATCCTGTAAGCTGTTGGCGTGATTCTAATATCACGAGGCTGACCTCCTTGCCCAACTAGTCTACTGAAACTCATTTTGTTTCTCTCAGCAGTAAAGTTTGGTGATACCACCCTGTTACATTCTCCCTTTTCATCACAGACATCACAGACATCTGTCCATCTAACACAACCCCACCAACACATCTTAGCATGAAATTTCTCTGCAGTACCTGTTCTAAAGCCAGCTGTGTTCTCTAGTAGTCTCTATTGGCTTCGAAGGACTTTGCAGGACATTAATAGGGCAAACTCAGAAGTATTGCCCGCCACTTCAGTAAAATAACATGAGGTCAGAATTTATTTTGTATGATTTTCTGAGTCTTTTCAGTAAGCTATGTATTGTGAACAATTAATGCACAATTAACAAGGACATGCCATTCACTGGTGAAACAACCAAAGCTTTATTGGGCTTAATTACTAATAAAAGACAAACTGGTTTATATGCCTGATTTTGCCAGAAATATTTTCCATATACCATACTGTACTGCAATGAAGCCAGCCCAACAAGAACAGAAAAGCTATTTGTTTGTAAAATAGATGATGAAGAAGTCTTTCGTGCAAAATAAATCCTTAAATTTTGCTCAGAAAGAACATATTCTGAAAAATAACCTAAAGTTGACTCAGTATCCAAGCTCTCAGGATGAAGATTTTGAAACCCCAGCAGAAGCTGTCAGCTATTTTAATCCCAACTTAAATGCATTTTAGAAGGAGAACTGATCGTTTAATAGTCATATTAACAAGGACTTACCAAAATTACTGTCACAGAAAACTTCGAGAACTCTTTTGTGTGTAAAGAGCTCCTCCACTGCTGGGCAGGTCTGGCATGCAGGCTTTGGTAGGACTGGTAAGAAATGGCAAAGTCTCATCATTATCTTGTAGAATGTTTTGTGTTAGTTTTCTGCTGTGAAAGTCAAGAGCTTGCTGTTTAACTATGAGTAATTATAAAAAATACAGAATTGTTCAGTGATAATGTATGCATCCGCATGCTTCTCTGAAAACATGGCTAAGGAGGAAAAGGAGTTTCTGTTTCCACGCACATTGACTCTTTGTTTAAACTGATAAACTCAATCATCAACATCAAATACAGTGTTTATAAATAGTGTTTTATTTTCAGTACAGCTGTGGAGTGGGGAACGGGTCAAGTGAGAATTCTGTCAGTGGTCCTAGGTTCAGCTGGACTAATATTGAGAACATAGGAATTGGAGTGTGCCAGCAGCAACTTACTTGTACTGCTATTCTCCTAAGTAAAAACACCTAAGCACATTTGAAGATTTGACTATTAATGTCATGCTAACTCCCTTAGGAAAATCAGATAATAAGTCCTCCCAACTTTTCCAAATTGATCTGAAGACCAATTCAATTAATCGTGAGTTTATCAGATCCCTGATAAAGCTGATAAGCCTGTAAAGAGACCTCAAAATAAATAAAATACAGTGCCTGTAGCTGTGCAGGGAGATAATCACTTCCTCTGCTATGTGTAGACCAACCGCTCTTCATTGAATTGAACTGATGCTGACACATCATCTGAGGAGTGCCACAGTTTTCACTGCAGGCATTAATACTTCCCCCCTTCTGCACAAACAAGTATGCATAGATGCAACTCCAATTACAAAGTCACAGACTGAGAACTGTGTCCCTTCTGTCTTGTTTACCTGCAGCATACAGTACAGCCACCCTGCCATCTTCCACCTACCTTTGTGCAAATATTTATATTCCTTTGTAAGAGATGCCAGACACATGTCCTCGTCTGCAGGGAACCGACTGCAGTCCAGGCTTTCTGGCCAGGCGTGCCCATGGCAGGCGAGCACAGGAGCACAGCTGTCCCGAACACCAACGCACATACTCCTACAGGGGAGGATGAACCTGCACCAGAGGGAGCACCAGGCTGAAGCTGTTCAACTCACTCAGTGATAACAAAGTAGTTCAGCAGTGATTTCTGCACAAAGTACATACTGATATTTGACAACCTTCAGCAATAATTCATTTCTAGAAATGGCTTATTCTTCTGTGTTACAGAATTATGTTTTTATTAATGCTATTATGTTTTTATTTATGTTTTTCTTACTATCTGAGAAAATCCTTGTCAAGAGCCCAAGTCTCTTTGCAACGGGTATTTGGTTTCATTGTCACCTATATTCAACTTTAAATTAACAAGAACAAAATTTCAACTGAAACAAACTAAAATATGATATTCTTCAGCTCCAGCATTCATTTCCACAAAGCAAACTAAAGCTGAAGTTGAACTCAAGAGCTTTTCAGTGCTTTTTTTTTCCCAATGAGTATGAAATAGTTAAGAGAATTATTTCTGATGAGGCGGAGATCACCTTTCCGTTACAATTGACATACATTTGATTTGATTCCTGTTCTGACCAAAAGGCTGGGTGCTGTGATACTTACGTGTCCAGGCAGATGGGGGCAAACAGAGAGCACAGGAACATCCTCACAT